TAAGGATTCTCGTGTAAAAAATATTCCAAATTCATTTGTAAAATGATTGTTCCAGTTTTAATTGTGTAAAAGCACTTGAGATTAAATTGTTTATTTTTATGAGAGGAAAGTTGTAATTGAGCTGCTTGCAAGGCATCTGTTAATAAAAGTACAAACCTCAAAACAACAAGCCGTATTTTATTCGTCACTACCTGCATCTCAAGGTGGTCTGGACCGTCCGCAGACCGTAGACCGTCGGTTCCCCCACCCTTTCTTTGGCTCGACTGCGATGGATATCGTACCAACGACGCTAGTGATCAGCAGGAAACCGGCGCTGAGGAATCGGAAATAAAGAACGACGGAATTCCAAGAAAACTGCTTATAGGGCTCTATGTTCTATAAATGTAATCTCTCGGGCACAATCCGTCCTGTGTACAGTGTGGGTGATTTGCGCCCTTATTTTCTGGTTATTTTACTGCGAGGTCGAGGTTCAAGTGGGTGTACAATGAGTTTCACGAGTCTTCGCGGCTATTCGAGAGTATTGGCGAGTATCCGCGAGTATCTTGTGAGTTTTTTTCGTGTACGAGTTTTCTTTTTAGTGGGGGATCCGTCGAAGATAATGGACATTCGCAAATGGTGTAGACGTGTGAATATGGAGCGGTGTGAACTCCTGTGCACAAGGCTGAACGTACTCCGCACATTCGGTGTGCGAGAAAAACAGTAGAGGTAACCATCCCTCGGTGAGTATCCATTGGCAAGCTTTGTAACGTTCCAGGTGTAACAGTGCACGCGCCGAAGTGTAGCGAGTTCACTGGAAAAACAAAGGTGCTGAGACCACTTGGGGGTACCGGTGCTGTCTTGTAAGGGCACTATAAGGGTGGTGTAATATAGCACCTTTAGGGGGCAATAGTGTCTTCCTAAAGTCGACAAATTACGGGAGGTCAGCGCCTGCGAGACTCGGGGTAGGCCAGCCCGCAGTACACGCATGCACTGCATATGAGATGTTGCCTACCCATCAGGCGCTACAAGAGCTTACATTGGCTAAATTTGGCAGGTTCGCAACGGCGAATGATCGACGTTCTCTGGATGATTCCCTATCCACGGATAATTAAGAGAGATGGATCGTTCGCGCTCCTGCATTATTTCCAGTTGAGGATCTATCGTTTCCACGCGCAGCGCAGGCACCACCAGCAGGCGCTCAGGGTGGCATGAGGCAGGCGAGGGGCAGGCTGACTGTGCTCATGGGGGGATGGTTTTGATTAGTAAATTGTTTATCTGTCAGGCAACTCACTAGAAACGACAGAGGAGGCGATGCTGGGAAGGCGCCATGCCTCCTGTGACCTGCACCGCCGCGTGCTCTGAAACACGGGGTGCATGATACATGGACATGTAAACACTATTTCCTGCATACATGCGCACGCAGAGTAGACACTTTTTACTTAATATAATAATGGAAGGTATTCAGGACATAGCTCATACATGGGGGTATTCAGGAGATGGTGCATACGTGCACACACACGGCATGGGTTTGCAGAGTTGTGGTGAAACTATGTTTAGGCCGACGCGATCTTAGCTTTTTCTTCATCGCCGCTGTTATCAGAGCGAATTAGAACTCTCATTTACCTTGCCATGTGGATTGTGCGCGCAGGTGTTCCACGTGTGTGCGCTGACGGATGACGGCCTCATCATGAAGTCATTCCTGTGCCCTGAGTCGACGCTGTTCGATCAGACGGTGCTCAAGTGCAACTGGTGGTTCTACGTGGACTGCAAAGCATCGCGCCGCCTCTACGACTCCAACATTCCCGTGTCCAAAAGCTACCAGCTCATGAAGGCACTCGCCTTCTTCTCCTCGTACAAGAAAACCCAAGAGGATGGGGAGCCACAAGCACCGCGAGGGCGGGCGCTGCAGCAGCAGCGTCTGCTACCAACCAGACGACACTCTCCACGACCTCGGGGTCGGGGGCCCCGGCCCCGCGACCACCGCTTCGACGACAGTGTCAAGTCGGACGCCAACACCTGCCGGAGTCATCGACGGTGACTCCCCGTCAACTTCTGGGAGCTAGAAGCCCGCTCACCGCGTTCGGGACGGATCTCCGCGCGACAGAGACATGACTCCCCAATGCTTGCCTGGATATGCGTTTGTTCTTTCCGTGTGAAAATGGATCTAGATTAAGTAAAAGACTAAGAATTTAGTCGAAATTATGAGTTGAATGTTGTGATATTTCCAACACAACTTGATTGTGTTGTTTTTGCTCATCAGCAATTTCAAAATGAAAGAGTTCAGTAAAAAGAAGAAAAGCTAGCAGGCGACCAGGAACACACAAAAGTTTGATCAGGCACGAGTAAATTGGCTTCTCTTCAGTTCCTGGCTGACCACCCTGCTTTTATTTACACTGAATTCCTATGTACTATAGTTTTAATGAATCAATAACTTATAATATATTTATGACATGCAGTTACGTTGAATGTCCTGTACGAGATTATTGGGAATATAATACTGATTTAGAAAGCTCATTCATGAAGGTGTATTTTATTAGCATCATAAGATACAGTCTTAAATTAAACTAAAAACTTCATAAGGAGGCAGTGGACAACAACCAACCACATTAAAATCATAGAAGCATACAGCTACGTTCAATTTGACAACATATAAAACACAACAAAAAGTGGAAAGGTGGTATATGACTTGCCCCCTCAACAAATAAATTAGAACAAATAACCAGCTAACGGGAAATCGCTTCTGGTTTTCTCCAAAAAAAATTCAGTATTTTTAAGTAAATCTTGTATTTTCCTAATATACTCAGTTTTCGCTTTCTGTAAAATCAGTATTGTCTGAAAATGTGCACAAGTCTAGTTAATATTTTCAAATCAAAAGCCATGCTCTACTTACCAATACTGTGGTGATGAACCCTCGAGAGCAAGATGTAGTTTTTAGAAAGAAAGACTCGGCCTTCTGTTTCAGCTTTTCAATATGGGCTTTGCCATATTCCCGTCTGATACAAAGAAATTTGTGTCAAAAGAAGCCTTGACAATAACACATCATAGTGACAATCTAGAACCTACTTTTCAACAAGTTTCTGCAACTGATCTTTTGCCATCTGCAGCGAATTGCAAGAGATGCGAGCTTCATTA